TCTTCATAGTTTCCTACCTAGTGCTTTAACTCGCATTGTATCTAGTGCTACCCAGTCCCCCAATATATGTACCTAAGCCAAATAACTTTACCATTGTAGTCTTTGATATCATCTGATATCATGGTTGTAAACTTGAGTGCATATCCTACTGCATTATTTCTTGAAATGATCCGCAAATTGTGCTACAGTGAACCAATGTATAACCCTGAAATTTTATTCTAATGTACCTAGTAATCCTTGTTCATTATAGTGCATTGTTATTATTGTGTATTAATCTAATCTTTGTTTATTGTGTCCAAATTTTTTACAATGTACCTGTAAACAATTTATGTCAGTTTTACTGTAAATTATCAACTTAAAATTATCTGTTAGTTTAAGGGCTTGCCGAAAACGCTATGCGTGCTAGTGGCTTTGCAAGAATGTAAAATCAACATCATTTCTATGTACTCTTAACCAGCAATGCACCTTTTTGTATATAAATAATTAAATAAATAAAAAAATATTAATTCATTCATACATACATAAATTTAGTCGTTAATATTCATTCATTCATTGAATGTATGAATTCTCGGCTCACAATCGAGCATTCCGATTTCGAATCTGGGCTGTGACAGAAATGGTTGGGTGCAAATTCCTATCACCTAGCAGTAAGTATACTCAGGAATTAGTCAGCTTGTTGTGGGGTTACATCCTGGGAAGGAGGGGTCAGTAATGACTCTGAGGGGAAGGGGGACCTCGATATAAGCCTAACATAAATATATATATACTAGCTCTACCCTGCCACGCGTTTCTGTGGCTCAGCAACGCATGTGCGTTGCTGAGCAACAGCAACCCTCCCCCCTGTCTCCCAGTCCTCCCCCATCATTCCCCACTCCCCCATCCCCTCGTCCTCCCAAACATTCCTCACTCCCCCTGTCCCCTCGTCCTCCCAAGTATTCCCCACTCCTCCGTCTCCCTTGTCCTCCCCACCATTTCCTCCCTCCCCATCCCTATGTCCTCCCCACCATCCACCACTCCACCGTCCCCTCATCCTCTTAACCATTCCCCACTCCACTGTCCCAGCGTCCTCTCCACCATCTCCCACTCCCCTGTCCCCTCGTCCTCCCTACCAATCCCTCCTTCCTCATTCCCTCGTCCTCCCCATCATCCCCCACTTCCCTGTCCCCTTGTCCTTCCCCACCAATCTCCATTTCCCTGTCCCCACTCTCGCCTCCTCAGACCAATCCCCCGTCCCTTCCCTAATCCTTATCCTGACCCCTTTCCCAGTGCAATATAGTCGTAATGGCTTGGCGCCTTCCCCCCCCCCTTTTTTTTTCTTAAATTTCAGACCAAATGGCATGAGGTACTTTGAGCTCTGTAATTACTTCATACACTTAGGATTATTGGAAGTTATTCTCCTGCTACACCCAGATTTTTGCCAGTGGGGGCTAATAGATCAGCCTTACATTTCTTATTCTCTCCTGATTCCATGTATTACTGTCCGTCCTGTGAGGTGAGGATGTTGGATGAGCTTGTAGCTGGTTTTTTATCTACACTGTGTGGTCCTTCATACACAATAGGGAAGCAGCACATTGCTGTGAATATCTAAGTATGTTAAAAAAAATACATTGTTTCAGAGAGTCTTGTAGAAACTGGTAAGAGTAATTATAATATAATGTTTCCATGATTCAGTGCTTACCTCTTGTGAAAATCGTGAAGTTGTTGTTTAGTCAGAATTGATTTTTTTTTTTTTGTATCGAGGCTGATATTTTCCTCCTTGATTCCATGTATGCCTAACCATCCTGTGAGATGGGAGTATTAGATGAACTTATAGCTAGTTTTTTATCTACACTGTAATCTTCTATATAGAATAGGGTAGCAGCACATTGCTGTGTATATCTAAGCTTCTTAATAAAAAAATCAGTAATAAAAATTTTAAATTATAGTTTGTATTATTACCAGTATTATCCTTATTAAATCATGTTAACCATGGATCATTAAGATATCATATTGACATGTAATAGTCATATTTCTTTTGAATCATTCATTAAACTATGCATTATGTCTCACTGTTTTCATAATTTTTCACTTCTTTGGTACAGTACAAAATGATTGGATAAAAAATAAACCAGTAATATTTTTTTCATTATATTTTTTATTTAAATAACAGCATCACTAATTTTACAGCTGACAGGATTTGTTTTATTCACAGGTGCATTATTTGTTAAAAAAAAAAAATTATTATTACAATGGTGCTACATAGCCTTCCCAGCTTGGTGCGTTCTTTTGATAATTACTTACTGATTGTTACACACAGCCAAATTGTGTAACAGGAAGAGGTCATGGACCCCTGCTTCCCCCTCTCTTTTTTAACAGGCCATAATAGTTCATATAATCATAATTATAGGCCTAAGTATTCAATGATAAAAGTTGTTGAAGTTTTTACCCTTACCTAACATTAGTGAAGCATATTTTGCTTCTATGTCTCACTCAGATTTAATTTCAAAATTAAATTAATTTCAAAAACCAAACAAAATAAATTAAAAATGGGTATGTATAGCTAAAGTATGCCCCTAGCTATATTTATTGCTAGGTGAACAGGGGCATTTGGAAATAATAAATGCTCCTACCATCATCATCTCATATTGAAAAGGATCATCACCTTCTCTCATAATTCATGTTCACCAGTGTTTATTTACTGAATAACTACTGGTATAATATCTTGCTATTATAAAATTAATTCTAATATATCATAAAATACATATTTATACAAATACAAATATTTATTCAGGTAAAGAACATACATACAAGGTTAGATACAAAAAGTTGATGGATTTATAGATAGAGCTAGTACATACAATGCCTAAAGCCACTATTACGCAAAGCATTTCGGGCAAGAAAAACACTAAGATTAAAACTTAATACTAATTGAGATTAAAGTGTAAATTGTGTTGAGAAAAAAATAAAAAAATTAAAAAAAGGGGGAAACATGGCAGAAAAAAAAAACAAAAATACAATTTGGTCAACAAACAGCATTGTTTAAAATAATAGACATGGGTTGACATTTTGAGGATGAGGTAGGTTACAGGGAGTTAATTAGGTAGTACTTAGTTTTTATCTTAAACTGGTTGGGAGAGGTACAGTCTTTAACATAATTGGGAAGGTCATTCCACATTTTAGGTCCCTTGATTTGTAAAGTATTTCTAGTTTGATTAAGTCGTACTCTTGGAATATCAAATAAGTATTTGTTTCTGGTGTTGTGCTCATGGGATCTGTTACAACCTTCTAGGAAGCTTCTAGGAAGCTTACTTGACTAAAACTTAATTGTAATTGGGATTAGGTATAAATTGTGTTGAAAAAAGGAATAAAAAATAGAAAGGGGGGAACAAGGCAGAAATCAGTAATTGTACAAGTTGGAGAACAAATAGCATTGTTTAACAAATGCAAGACATGGGTTGATATTTAGGGAGGTAAGGTAGGTTACATGGAGTTAATTAAGTAGCACTTGGTTTTACTCTTAAATTGGTTGAGAGAGGTACAACCTTTAACATGATTGGGGAGACCATTCTAGAAAAAATTCCTTCCATTCTAGAAGGATCTAGAATGGAGGATCTAGATCTAGGACTTACTACAAGTTTCAAGCAGAGAATGCATATATAGTTAACACGAAGGACTCCTCTGGACGAAACTCGCCAACTAAATTGTTTGTTTATACTAAAATCGATCCTCCGTGTTGTGTAGTAGAGAAAAATTGAGTTATGTCCAGTTTACGAGTGGTTGAGGCCGTCCTTAAATCGAGGCGGTGTACTTACGAAGATTTTCCTTCTTAAATGCGTACCTGAATTCCGACGTTGCCGCTACGAAGGTGCTAAGAAGAAAAACATTCGTAAGTACGTACATAACTGCTTTGCGAATCTGGCCCCAGGATTGTTTATTATCACCATAATTACAAAACTTTTTCCAGTTTGTCCAAATTCAATAGTACCCAGTTCTACTTTCAATATGTACGATGGTCCACATCGTTAATATAAGTTCTGTCTTGTACGATGGTCCACATCGTTAATATAAGTTCTGTCTAGACAGGTGAATGGGCTGCAGAAGAATGTGATGATAATCTGTGACCCAGGTCAACTGTGTATACATAACACAACACCAAACAATAAGAAGTATTTTACTCATTTAACAACTATCACATGACCACTGCCACCTCGCACTGGACAGTCAGTAGACTACACCATGGTAAACAACTGGCACCACACACTGGGACAGTCAGTAGACTACACCATGGTAAACAACTGCCACCACACAATGGGACAGTCAGTAGACTACACCATGGTAAACAACTGTCACCACACACTAGACAGTCAGTAGGCTATACCATGGTAAACAACTGTCACCACACACTAGACAGTCAGTAGACTACAAGCCGCTAAGCATCCAAGCAACATGTAAAATGCGAAGAACAAAATTCACCACCACAATGTACTCTTTGCCGTCAATATTGGATCAGCGGCGGTGTCTGCTATTCAAAAGTGGAGTTTGTTGGCACACATTATTGCATTCATTAATTTATTTAGAACATTTTCGTATACGACGGATTTATATTTATGGTTTGAGAAACACTTAACGCATCTTGAAACTTATTAAGCTACAAAACGCACCAAAAACATCCTTGTAATACATGCTATATGTGTCTTCGAAAGTAATATTGGAAGACATTTTGGTAAATTCCATAAAATATTGAAGGAAATAGCCTAATCATCAGTATACAAAAAAAGTCAAATTGACTAATTTGCAGGGCAGCGGGTGCTCCATGCCTAAGTGACAATTCGTCTATGAGAAAAATACGTAATTCTAAACTCAGTGATTATCAACGTGAGAATCTGGGCAGGAGGTGAGGGAGTGAGTGAGCCGGTGCGTGGGAGCCAGGCAACAGCCGGCAGGCACAGGGTGACGGAGGCTGGGATGGGTGTGGGAGCCTGACTAGAGCCATCAGGTGGCAGCAAGGTCGTTCATGCCATGATTGGCGCTCTATATAGCGTCTGGGGTGCGAAGTAACATTGTACATGCACCAGGGTTGTTCAATAGCAGGCGGTGCAACGCTCCTTCTGCAGGAGGGAACACAGCCATGAGGACTGCGGTGCTCATCTTAGCCTTCATTTGGTGCGTCACAGCCCAAGGTAACTCAGGATAAGACGTTCCAGCTCTTCACCACCACTGATCTAATGCGTTGGTAACCTCCACCGCTCCTCCATCACAACACTGACAACACTACACCGCACCTCCAACACAATACTGACAACCTCCACCGCACCTCCAACACAATACTGACAACCTTCACCGCACCTCCAACATAATATACTGACAACCTCCACCGCTCCGGCAGCACAGTACTAACAACCTCCACCGCTCCTCCAACACAGTACTGTCAACCTCCACCGCTCCTCCATCACAACATTGACCACCTCCATCGCTCCTCCAACACGATATTGACAATGAACAAGTCCACAAGAGCCGTGACGAGGATTCGAACCTGCGTCCGAGAGCATCCCAGACGCTGCCTTAATCGACTGAGCTGCATGGAGGGATTGAATTATTATTATTATATTATTTATTTATTTATTTATTTATATACAAGAAGGTACATTGGGTTTGTGAGAATACATAGCATAGTATTTACAATCTTGTGAAGCCACTAGTACGCGCAGCGTTTCGGGCAGGTTCTTAATCTAACAGATAATTTTAAGTAGGTAAATTCTAGCAGAATTAATAAAATGATAACAGATACATTGCAAGAAGAAAAATGAGATGAGAGAGATTAGTAAGTATATTAAAGCACATTGGTATAATAAAGCTCTGATTGATTACATTGAAAGCTTGATTGGTAATTTAAACAAGATTAATAGACACCATACAGCAGATTGATAGCACATATAAGAAGACAGCAATGATCACAATGGTAAAGAAGTTCGGATTGGGTACATAAAGATTGGGAGATTGGGTAGCAATAGATACAGTGCAATTTTAAAGCAAAAAGTAAAAAACTATGAAGATGAAATTAGGTACTTTTTAGTATTGTTTTTGAATGACGCAAAAGTTGGACAACTTTTCAATTCATTAGGGAGTGAGTTCCATAGACTGGGTCCCTTTATTTGCATAGAGTGTTTACACAGATTAAGTTTGACTCTGAGGATATCAAAGAGATATTTATTTCTGGTGTGGTGATAATGGGTCCTATTACATCTGTCCAGGGAGAGTTTCAGAGCAGGATTTGCATTTAAGAACAGATTTTGTAAATGTAGCTGACACAAGAGAATTTGTGGAGTGAGATTATGTTTAGCAAGTTTAGGGAGTTAAACAAGGGCGCTGAGTGTTGTCTGGAAGCAGAATTTGTTATTATTCTGATAGCAGATTTTTGATGGGTGATGATGAACTTGAGGTGGTTTGCAGTGGTTGAACCCCATGCACAGATACCATAGTTGAGATAGGGATAGATTAGTGCATAATATAGAGAGATGAGAGCAGAGTTAGGTACATAATATATGATTTTGGAGAGTATACCAACTGTTTTAGAGACTTTCTTAGTTATGTGTTGTATGTGGGTGCTGAAGTTGAGTCTCTTGTCTAGGAATAGGCCAAGAAACTTTCCATCATTTTTACTGATAATGTTTACATTGTCTATCTGAAGCTGAATTGCATTTGTAGATTTGCTTCCAAATAAGATGTAGTAGGTCTTTTCTATGTTAAGTGTTAGTTTGTTGGTTGTCTTCCATAAGTGGACTTTTTTTAGTTCATTATTAACAACATTATTTAGTGTATGTGGGTTGGGGTTAGAGTAGATGAGGGTAGTAACATCAGCAAACGAAATAGGTTTCAGAATGTTAGAGACATTAGGCAGATCATTGATGTATATAAGAAATAGGAAAGGTCCCAAGTTGCTGCCCTGTGGCATTCCAACGGTTATTGGCACAGTGGGAGAAGTTATATTATTGATGGCTACACATTAGTGTCTATCACTAAGATAGGATTGGATATAGTCCAGTGCATGGCCTCGGATTCCATAATGACGGAGTTTACGTAATTGGTAATTGTGATTAACAGTATCAAAGGCCTTTCCCAGGTCAATGAAGAGTCCAATCGGAAACTCATTTTTGTCAAGGGCTGAGTAAATTATATCAAGGAGACTAATAATTGCATCGTTGAAACTCTTTTGGGAGCGGAAGCCAAACTGACAGGGGCTAGCTAAGTATGTCGAATTTTACGAGATAGAAGTAGAGCTGTTTGTAGATAATTTTTTCAAATATTTCTGATAGTATGGGTAGGTTTGATATTGGTCTATAATTGTTTATGTCTGCCGGATTACCTCCTTTATGAACTGGCGTTACTCTTGTTTTTTTAAGGATATCAGGGAAGGTATGACACTCAAGGGATTTGTTGAACAGCAGGTGGCGCAAGGGCATGGTAAGGTAGAGTAAGGCAAGTCCTAGTCAACAACGGCTTCTCTAACGGTTTCTTTGAAGACATCATAAAAAGAAAGGTAAAACGCCATGCAACTTCTAAAGAGTCAACCAACACAACACTTGTACCCCCAATTAGACTATTTTACAGGAACTTCTTTTCGACGGCTCATAAAACGGAGGAAAGGGTCCTGAAAGATATTGTTGATAGGAACGTCATCCCTGCAGACAAAAATCAGAAAATACAATAATTTATTATAAAACAAAAAAAACGGCCAATCTACTCATGAAAAACTCGCCAGACACCAAGCAGAACGCTTTGAAGGAGACCAACGTCGTCAATGCCTTTAAATGCCCACTTGGGGACTGTAAGCCCCAAAGAACTCAGTATATAGGCAAGACAACAACGTCTCTTTCTAGGCGACTAACAATGCATAAGCAACAGGGAGCCATCAAGGAACATATAATCCCTTCCCACAACCAGACCATCACCAGAGAAATCTTAACAAACAACACAGAAATCATCGATAGGTACGACGATAGCAGGCGGCTTGACATCTGCGAGGCACTACACATCAAAAAGTCAACACCAGCAATCAACAGCCAATTAATGCACAACTATATTCTACCTACTTCAAGGCCCCGAACCAATATGGAAGCAGCAAGAGGAAGTATTGGCCAATAGACCTTCTGCAGTTACTTCCATTTATACGTTCACTTATCCAATTTATACCCATTGTTACGTGTTCTGTCTTGTGTTTGTCACCTCACCCAAAACTTTTGTACTATATCACCTCATCCAATAGAGTATAAGTACGAAGAATTTGTGTGTAAATTAAGTCTTTGAAAATGTAATACGAATTACGAAACGCATTCAGGCGTCAGACAATTAAAAAATGAATTTTGGAGAATTGTTAATTTTATTACCACCGACCGTCAAGAAAAACATAAGAAATATTGAGAAGATTATATTGAGAATAAATATTGAGAAGATTATATATATATATATATAAATGTGTGTGTGTGTGTGTGTGCGAATAAGCCTGAATGGTCCCCAGGACTATATGCGACTGAAAACTCACACCCCAGAAGTGACTCGAACCCATACTGCCAGGAGCAACGCAACTGGTATCTACAGGACGCCTTAATCCGCTTGACCATCACGACTGGACAAAAGGAAGTGATAGCCGAAGCTATTTGAACCACTTCCCTGCCGGCACTCGGATGGTAATCTTGGGCATAGCATTTTATCAAATCACCTCATTCTTTGGGGCACACGTGAGGAACACAAATGCGAATAAGCCTGAATGGTCCCCAGGACTATATGCAACTGAATGAGGTGATTTGATAAAATGCTATGCCCAAGATTACCATCCGAGTGCCGGCGGAGAAGTGGTTCAAATAGCTTCGGCTATCACTTCTTTTTGTCCGGTCGTGATGGTCAAGCGGATTAAGGCGACCTGTAGGTACCAGTTGCTTTGCTCCTGGCAGTATGGGTTCGAGTCACTTCTGGGGTGTGAGTTTTCAGTCATATATATGTATATATATATATATATATATATATATATATATATATATATATATATATATATATATATATATATATATATATATATATATATACTGCATGTGACAACAGTATCCAAATATTTGAATAGTTAGCACTTATTTATTATTATATTTGTATTTATTTTTGTCCCCTAGATGAATGCAACGCTCGTCAGGAGGCATATGGCATAGTGTGTGTCTGTGATGCCTCTTACTGCGACCAGCCGGGCATTATCGACTTCCCTGCGGAAGGCAGCTTCACCCTCGTCACCACCAACGAGGCAGGTCTCAGGTTCAAGGTGGAGACCTTCCCCGTCTCCAGCGAGGAAACACCTGGTAAGTGATTAATGCTGGCAGAAATCGGCGTTCCGAATGGTCCATATCTTGTAACACGATGGAGGTGGGGGGCTGGTGTCTTAGACAGGCTTCGCGTCTTGTAAGGAAGGAGAAGGGGCTGGTGCCTTAAATGGGGATCTGAATGTGTTCAAGTTTTGTTAAGAGGGGGCTGGGGCTTGTGCCTTAGACTATCAAGTGCATGAAAGAGAGAATGCTCGATCTAAAAGAACAGAAGCTAAGTTGCATTATATTGATAAACGATGTGTGATTGGCAGAATATTTAATGTAAGGAGGTAATCAAAGCGCCAAAAGAACTGTATATGAATTTGGTCTCTGTAATACTTACAGAAAGTCATAAATCAAAACATTTGACTAATTCACAATATCTGTTTAAACATTTGTCCAAAATAGATATATCTAGCAAGGCTTACATAAGCCTTACCAAGTATATCTAAAATAGATATACCTGCCAGGTATATCTAAAATAGATATACCTACCGAAGCTTACATTAATGTGAAAAAAAGCTTTGCCAAAATAGATATACCTGGCAAAACGTATGTCACATTTAAGAACCTCAACTTGGAAACAGAGATTATCTGTAGATGTGATGTCCCTACAGATGCTGTGGTGGTAACAGTGAACCCAGGGGATGCGTACCAGACCATTATTGGCTTCGGTGGTTCTTTTACCGACGCCACAGGTATGAACGTCGTTGGTCTCCCGCCAGACGCCCAGGAGTACTTTCTCAAGTAAGCATATTCAGACAGGGATCAGGAGTTTGACGTTTTCTCCCAGTTGCCTTCTGATATAACCCCCGCCAGTATCAGTACGGTTCATGTTATTATACAGTGGTAAATAAGTAAAATATCTGACCACTTTTGACTTACAAAAGTCAAAAGTGCCTAGGGATAAACAATAATACTGTCTAATGTATAACATCAATGACTTTACGGAGGGAAACAAAAGCTACTGTACATACAAGTACAATAATCAAGGATGGATCCAGTAATCTTCTTATAAGCACAAATTTACTAATGATACACTCTTAGATGATATAATACATGGATAATTATCTCACCAGATCAAGTAAGCAACTGCTAAATATAAAATGGAAAGACATGCAGACTTATCTATGAAACTCAAGACACACTTGCGATAAAATCTAGTACCTAACACAGCCAATGACTAGCTCACGCTTGCAAGCGTGGTTTCCACACAGTACCAAAACTATCAGACAAAACTTCTCCCAGACACTAGTATATACTGATCTAATCACTCCAAAACAAGTCTGAATCTCAAGATGTTTTAAATTACATTACACAGTAAATAAATCAATAACGAGAATCATCATAAATAGAAATAAATACAAGATACAAGACGCTAAACTGGGAATAATGCGCACACTACTTCCAGCTGATGCAATTCCCTTATATGGTAGAGTCGACAATGAGACGCCACTGAAATAGCCTCATAATCAAAATCACACAAAGAAATATGCATATATATATATATATATATATATATATATATATATATATATATATATATATATATATATATATATATATATATATATATATATATATATATATATATATATATATATGTCGTACCTAGTAGCCAGAACACACTTCTCAGCCTACTATGCAAAGCCCGATTGCCTAATAAGCCAAGTTTTCATGAATTAATTGTTTTTCGACTACCTAACCTAACCTAACCTAACTTTTTCGGCTACCTAACCTAACCTAACCTATAAAGATAGGTTAGGTTAGGTTAGGTAGGGTTGGTTAGGTTCGGTCATATACCTACGTTAATTTTAACTCCAATAAAAAAAATTGACCTCATACATATTGAAATGGGTAGCTTTATCATTTCATAAGAAAAAAATTAGAGAAAATATAATAATTCAGGAAAACTTGAAAACTAGGCAAATCGGGCCTTGCATAGTAGGCTGAGAAGTGCGTTCTGGCTACTAGGTACGATATATATATATATATGTCGTACCTAGTAGCCAGAACGCACTTCTCGGCCTACTATGCAAGGCCCGATTTGCCTAATAAGCCCAGTTTTCCTGAATTAATATATTTTCTCTAATATTTTTCTTATGAAATGATAAAGCTACCTATTTCATTATGTATGAGGTAATTTTTTTTTTATTGGAGTTAAAATTAACGTAGATATATGACTGAACCTAACCAACCCTACCTAACCTAACCTAACCTATCTTTATAGGTTAGGTTAGGTTAGGTAGCCGAAAAAGTTAGGTTAGGTTAGGTTAGGTAGGTTAGGTAGTCGAAAAACAATTAATTCATGAAAACTTGGCTTATTAGGCAAATCGGGCCTTGCATAGTAGGCTGAAGAGTGCGTTCTGGCTACTACGTACGACATATATATATATATATATATATATATATATATATATATATATATATATATATATATATATATATATATATATATATATATATATATATATATATATGCCATTATTTACCCCCAAACAGATCCTACTTTGCTCCTGAAGGACTAAGATACAACCTGTGTCGCATCCCCATCGCTGGCTGCGACTTCTCTCCCAGACCCTACTCTTACGACGACGTGGAAGGCGATGTGGACCTTGTATACTGGAGTCTAACTGACGAGGATTACAACTACAAGGTGATAGCAGAGAAAATGCAAGTTGTATCTTTAATATATTGGTTTTATTGTTTTTCAAATGATAAATTAAAAGTAAGCGATACATTTAGCTCATTGTAGGAAACATTTATCGCGGACTAACATTAACAAATTGACAGAAATTATTGCTGTCAAATATTATTATCTATAACTATTATCTATAATAGTTTATTATTTAATCCTTTTTATTTTGTGTATTATTTTATTTACAAAACTGAATAAAGCAGTGAAGCCTATTCTAAGCTACAAAATTGCAACTTTGGGTAACATGACCAAAAATGTTCAAAATAAAGGAGAGCTCAGCAGCAGTGAGAGGATGTCAGTACTGCCTGATGTTAACTATGCTCCCAGTGCGGATAGAGGTTTAATTGCGGCACAGAGTGGCATCAGTGGCTTTCACCAACCTGTAAATTGTTGACCCATTAATTTGTGTTTTTGAAACGATGATAATAAATACAGAAAGTACAGCTATAGGCACTGGCCCTTAATATTTTCCAAACATTGTCTTAGTCAAGACTTTAAATTCAACTGTAAAGGCAATAATACATTTGCAAATATTTCATTCATTTGACTGGAATAATTTACGAAAAAACACAAAATTTACTCAAATCTATTTACTGTACTATAATTTTTTTTCAATATATCAATATTGTTAATTGCCACGTGTCGCCCACATGGCCCTGTGTTCCCAGTAGCCTATGGCCACATAATTTCATATATGCTTAATTCCATATAAGATAATTTACATAACATTGAAAATATTCCACAGGATGGCTTGTCTCCAAATTATATGGGATCGAAATACACAAACATTATCCTACTAATTCACTCTTTAAAGACAATATTAGAGCGTGCGATTACTAACCAATACTTTATAGTGAAAACATCTCCACATAATACAAAACTCATCAGATGGTTACCATAACTAGTCTAAACACATCACAAGTAAAATTAAGACACTGAGAAAAAGCTTTAGTGACCAGTAGATATATATTTTCCCGACAGATCCCGTTGATCCTGCGCGCCAAGGAGCTGTCGGAGCTACCGGTGAAGCTGTTCGGGTCACCCTGGTCCTCGCCGACCTGGATGAAGACCAACGGCATGTTCAACGGGTCAGGAATATTGCTGAAGGAGATGTGGCAGCCCTGGGCCAATTATATCGTCAAGTGAGTGTTCGATAGTATTGGGTGGTGAACTTGACGTGAGGGATAGTGTCAGGTGGTTAACATGATGTGAAGGATAGTGTCGGGTGGCTTAACATAATATGGGGAATAGCGTCAGGTGGTTAACATGACGTGGGGGATAGTGTCGGGTGGTGAACATGATGTGGGGGATAGTGCTAGGGTTTTAATTACATATTCCATCAATCAAAATTAATCGATTAATATAAATTTACTATTAATTGTTAGACTACAATGATTAGTATTAATGCACTAAAGAACAGCTTAGCTGTTATGTAATGCCCAGACTCGTGGTTTAAAGATTATATAGGATACGTATTATACATAAATAGAGATTCAGGTGACGTGGCAATGTCACACACACACACACACACTCTCACCTGTCAATCAACTGTTTACTAACTACTTTTTTTTCTAACACCACACACACACACCAGGAAGCAGCCCGTGACAGCTGACTAACTCCCAGGTACCTATTTAATGCTAGGTAACAGGGGCATTCAGGGTGAAAGAAACTTTGCCCGTTTGTTTCTGCCTCGTGCGGGAATCGAACCCACGCCAAAGAATTACGAGTCCGGCGCGTTATCCACCAGGCTACAAGGCCCCCATCTTTATCTGTGTGTGTGTGTGTGTGTGTGTGCACGTGTGAGAATTTCGATCCCCTTCTTAGCAACCCAACCACTTCGGTTGGAGGATAGAGCGACAGTCTCGCTTCATACAGGTCGGCGTTCAATCCCCGACTGCCCAAATGGTTGGGCACCATTCTTTCTCCCTGTCCCATCCCAAATCCTTTTCTGATCAACTCCAAGTGCTATATAGTGGAAATTAAAGAGCTTGGCTCATTTCCCTGATTATTCCTTCCCTTCCTCCTCTTAGCAAAAATATGTATATCAAATTGTTAGCAACAATGAAGAATCTTTGGTGTTAGTACTTTCAATATACACTGAAGGATACAGAAGAGTAGTAGAGATGGCAGCACAGCGACAATTGAGAATTTTTGGGTCCAGTTGTCTATACGCCGCCAGGGGTTCCAGGTAAATTTCCCAGTCACTCATATATCACAGGGTTTCTTTAGAAGTTTGCTAAGAAAAATTAAAAAAAAATCAGAGTTCTTACTAAGAATGAACTCCATGGACAGCTTTTGTCTGTTTTAGAAAATCACTCATTTGGAGTTAAGAGTTCTTATGGGGGAAATTCAAGACCAAAAATCACTCATTTGGAGTTAAAGAGTTCTTATGGGGGAAATTCAAGACCGAATTTTGGTCTTAAAGTGGACTCTGTCAAATTTCAGTCTTAAAATGGACTCTGCCTAATTTTCGGTCATGAACTGGACTCTGTTTATTTTGGGTCTTTTAGTGGACTCTGATTATTTTCGGATTTCTACTGGACTCTGAATAGTTTAGGTCTTTTACTGGTGAAATAGCTGTAAATGGGTATAAAACTAAAACTTACTGGTAAGATGTCTATTTTCCTTAACAAAACTTTTATGAGCATATACTCTGAAAATGGTCTTTTTTATATAAATTTCGGTCATAAACTCTTAAATAACCTCCTAAGATTATATGAACTCTGAAATATTTTCATAAAACTGATCTCTGAAAAATTTTGAATTTCTCCCATAAGAACTCTTTAACTCTAGATGAGTGATTTTCGGTCTTGAATTTCCCCCATAAGAACTCTTTAACTCTAAATGAGTGATTTTCTAAAACAGACAAAAACTGTCCGTAAAGTTTATTCTTAGTAACAACTGAAAAATTTTGAATATTTCTTAACAAACTTCTAAGGAAACCCTGTAACATATGAGTGACTGGGAAATTTACCTGGAACCACTGGCGGCGTATGGACGACTGGGCAAAATTTACCTGGAACCACTGGTGGTATATGAACAACTGGCCCAAAAAAATCTCAATCGTCGCTGCGCTGCCATCCCTACTACTCAGGAGTTGGCGGTCATGATATATACACAGAGATGTATCCCATTTTCTCGGTGTCTATTCACTGTTTTCTTTAGTCCTGGATTTAAGTTGGTCAGTAGGCTACTGTGCAACGAGAGCGTAAATCATACTGCCAACTAAACTGCTCCTGTGGTTGTAAATACGGTCAGGTTCGTAGAGGCGTATGAAGCAGAGGGAGCCGAGATGTGGGGCCTCACCCCCCAGAATGAACCGCTCTGTTACGAGTCAGATGTAAGTTTCTTAGTATTGTATCTCATAAAGGCTGATGAACATCAGTTGATGTTATAGTTGCTGAACGTCAGCTCTTGATAATATACTTCATCTGTTCCCAAGATTAAGGAGATATCCTCTAAAAATGATAAATATGATTTTAACATTGTTAATATCCATCATAGTTACTATAATGTTAAGGCATTACGACAGTGTTTGTGGGGGTGATACGTACTTGTTTTTCTTTCGGTAGTGGGCCATTAACTGCTTAGGCTGGTCTGCTGAGGACATGCGAGACTGGCTCAAGGGTAACTTGGGGCCCACGCTGGAGGCTGCTGGGATGCGACGTCTAAAGATGATGGTTGATGACTTCAACAGGGACACTCTTCCCTGGTACGTCGTGCCGGTAGGTCTTTAGGAAACTATTTCTGTATTATTTGTTAGCTTCAGTCTTTAATAATTCTGGTTCTCGCTACCCCATCACCCGCACGAAGGCTTTTATTACCAGAATGGTAATAAAAAGTAAAAATAAAAATTATTTTTATTTTATTTTTTTTTGTTTAATGTTCAAAGACAATTATAAGTACTCATCAACATTTTATTAAATGCTTAAATCAATATTGATGTCACGACTGCTTCCTGTTTTAGTTGGTGTTAAAGGCAGGATTTCCAGCCTCTGAAGGATTTAGGCCATAACACTAGCCTACTGACAAACCTGTAAATATAATTTCAACATATTCCAGGATGATTGATTGATGAAGTAGATTAAGCCACCCAAGTGGTGGCACGGGCATGAATAACCCATAAGTGATAGATTTTTTGGAGCGAATGTGATCTTTGGCCGTGAAAGGATATACTGTGTGCAGAGCTCGCATAAAAATCGTTAGTTCTTACTATGTGGCTGCTGTCACGGGGGAGGACACTGACTGATAGTGTTTATGAGGGCGCCCAGATGCTGGATACTCCGGGATTGTTGTTGTTCTTTTAGATTCAGTTACTCGGAACAAAAGTTCCAAGAAACACGGGCTATAGTGAGCCCGTATTGGATTTATCTGGTACAGGAGCGAAGCCGTAACTGTGTTTAAAGCAATATAAAGCAGTCCTGGATTAAAGCATACTCAATATTAATACAAATAGAAATGAGGTACAACTCTCAGCGCAAATTTGTATCTCCCTCCCTTCACCAATACTTGCTATATGAACACTAAACACTCTCCACACAGATGCTGGACGACCCTGACTGTGCTAAGTACATAGACGGTACAGCGGTCCACTGGTACTCTGACAGGTTCGTGAGCGCTGATGTTCTGGACCAGACCCAGGCGCTCTCTCCAGAGAGATTTCTTCTTTACACCGAGGCTTGTCAAGGTAAGGCTATCATCGAGACTTGTCAAGGTAAGGCTATCATCAAGGCTTGTCAAGATAAGGTTATCATCGAGGCTTGTCAAGGTAAGGCTATCATCGAGGCTTGTCAAGGTAAGGCTCTCATCGAGGCTTGTCAAGGTAAGGCTATCATCAAGACTTGTCAAGGTAAGGCTATCATCGAAACTTGTCAGGGTAAGGCTATCATCGAAGCTTGTTAATGTGAGGGTATCATCAAGACTTGTCAAGGTATGGCTATCATCAAGTCTTCACAAGGCAAGGTTATCACAGAGGCTTGTCAAGTTAAGGATATCACTAAAACTTGGATGGGTAAGATTATCATCAAGGCTTGGCAAGGTAAGGTTGTCATCGTTGCTTGGCAAGGTAAGGTTATCATCGTTGCTTGGCAAGGTAAGGTTATCATCGTTTCTTGGCAAGATAAGTTATCATTATTGCTTGGCAAGGTAAGGTTATCATCGTTGCTTGGCAAGGTAAGGTTATCATCGTTTCTTGGCAAGATAAGTTATCATTATTGCTTGGCAAGGTAAGGTTATCATCGTTGCTTGGCAAGGTAAGGTTATCATCGTTTCTTGGCAAGATAAGTTATCATTATTGCTTGGCAAGGTAAGGTTATCATCGTTGCTTGGCAAGGTAAGGTTATCATCGTTGCTTGGCAAGGTAAGGTTATCATCGTTGCTTGGCAAGGTAAGGTTATCATCGTTGCCTGGTAAGGTAGAGATATTATCGAGGCTGAGCAAGGGAAGATTATCATCAAGGCTAGTAGGCAAGATAAAGTTATCACGTCAAACTGTGAGCGGTAGCCTATTGTACACCCAAGTATTTATCCAGTAATGTGTTACATTTAGTTTATTTTTTCGTTAACCGGCATTAAGAGAAATACTAATATATGAGACTGGGAAGAGACCTCTTGACACACAAAATGTAACCCTTCATATAGGTAACTACATAAATTTGCCTCGTATTTATGTTAAAATAAATGGGGAGCACTAATGGTCACACTTGATTTTGTGCAGGTGTCTTCGACACGGGCCACAAGAACGTGTACATAGGCTCGTGGGATCGTGTCGAAGAATACGTCCACTACATGATAGAGGTAAGACGTCCAGCTGGTCTTTTACTTCAATGATTGGAATGATTTGGTTATAGAGGACTAAGAAATCCATATACAGTAATTGATTGGAAACAATTTGGGTGAAGCGGGGTGATGCTCTTTGGTATTATATGTTCTTGTATTGGGAGCAAAAATCCTGACCTAGCTTTTGCTCTTTTTAGTTTTCATTGTAAAAATATTTGTATAATACGTTTTAAGTCAAACTATATTGATTTTTTATGAAAAATTTTTGTCACTAATTTTCATCAATTTTTTTTTTTAAATGTGTGCATTTGTTCTACCTGATTATCTATGGTAAAATTATTTGAATGCTCCAAACCCCAATAAAAATAACGTTTTAGGTGAAATTTTGAAGAAAAAAAATTAACCCATCTTCAATCATATTGAAAATATGATTGAAGATGGCCCGATGTTAGTTGTACTAACATTCTTATTAAGGAATAAAGTGATATTAATCCCAATTGCTTCAAAGAAATTAAAACCGACAAGTGAAACCATCCTAGATAAGATTCATTATGTGTCATTATCAATTATCAATCATTATCAATCTCATTATTTGTCCTCAGAGTGTTCAACACAGGACTTCATTTACCAGTATGCGGTCATAAACTAGGAAATTCAAATGCATAAAATAAGAAAATATGTAACTCATTTTTTTTGTAATAAAGTTTAAATAAAACTAACAGTGACATATATATATATTCGCTAGTATATACATTAAGAGGAGATTATACATTACATTATATAACATTACATTATATTATATAACATTACATTATATTATATAACATTACATTATATTATATAACATTACATTATATTATATAACATTATTATATACGTATTTGCTAGTATATACATTAAGAGGAGTAGTTCTGTGTATATAGATCCTGAAACGTGAATGAAAAGGATTCAGAAAAAGCAGCATCTTGAAAAACTACACTTAAGGTTAACCATGAAAGATCGCACCTTTTTTGAGGTTAAATACGACGGTTCAAAAATAATATATAGGGTGGACGGCAGTGGAGATATCCAACAGACGTGAAAAGCTTACTACACACGCCAGTCTTCATAATCAAAGTTAAGCCTTTCAGCAAGACCTCACTAGTAGTCCAATAACAAGTTGAAGCCTCACAACAACGGATTGAAGCCTCACGCATGATATACAATTGTAAATCTTTTCTCCACCCCCTCCCCCATTTTCTTCTTTTCCAAATATGACTTTAGGGGAGCTAATATCACACTGCAATTAATACCATGCTAGGTAAATTAATGAAGCCATAACTGCACATGAACGTAATTTTAATCCGTGCAGGACATTAACCACTACTCGGCGGGCTGGGTTGACTGGAACATGGCGGTCAACAGGAATGGAGGACCAACCTGGACTCATGGATCCCTTGACGCTCCCATCATCGTGGACGTTGTAAGTATAGATACCAGTCACTTTGTACACAAGACGTCTTTTTTCCAACGAATTTTAAACTCTACTTAACCTAACCCAACCATCTATAATCCGGTCATGCAGAAACCTATAACCTATATCTACGCCAACCAAATCTAATATAATCTAATGCAACATATCCCAGCTAAACATTACGGTAAAAAAATAACGTTTAGAAAACGAGTTGTGTGTGTACTTCTTTAAATATGTAAAGTTAAATATTGCTGAAATATTTTCTAACGAATCATTTTGAACGTGCATCATTCACTAAATTTTTCAATCAAACGAACTTAATCTCACATTCAAACAGGAGTCCTATTAAGCTTAAAGATAATAACAGTGAGATTGTAAACAATATTTAAGTTGTGGGTACAATGAGGGCCGGATTTAGTCATTAGGGGGACTTGAAATTTTTTTTTTTTTTTTGGGGGGGAAAGCCCTCTACATAGAAATTAAATTACATGACAAATAAAAAAGTGAACTACAATGGGGATAAACCGCATATGTCCGAGAAAAATATCTTCAGTTCCAAAGAAGACGTTTGTCTGATTTTATTTTTTTCAATTTTATTGAATAAGAATAACTTTTACTACATTTTTATGTTTGTAATATAGCTTAAAGTGGTATAAGTTACTATTCTTTCTATTTTCTGACGCCCCACGTGCACTTTGTTATTTTTTAATAATAAACAAATTTACAAATTATTACTTTTCTTTTATAAAATAAGTCCAGGGAGCGACCCTCTGTCTAGTGGAAAAAACATTTCCACTAGACAGTTAATAAAAAATTAATTAGCATAATTGAAAGTTTTAACATATACGTTACATAATGGCACTTCCTCACAAGAAAATATACAGATACGCCTTTCCAGAGGCGTATGTAAGGTATGCTATGTATTGTCAGCTTGATCTCTTACGTAAAATACAGGTTATATGTATACATCACAGAATGCAGGAGAGTTCTACAAGCAGCCAATGTTCTATGGACTTGGTCACTTCAGCAAGTTCGTGGTCCCTGATGCTAAGCGCATATACTCCGCCACCTCCAGTGTTGACGTGGAAACTGTCGCCTTCACCGACCCGTCAGGACGCACCGTTGTCGTTGCTCTCAACAAGTAAGGAACGCCAATCATTAGGCTGAAATTAGATTAGATGCTAAATTAAGTTAAATGTTAGTGTAAGTTTTGGCATATACAATGCTAAAATCGACGAGACCGCATTTTGCATCGCTTTAAACTTAATGATATACTTTCGTAGCTATGGGTAAACTTAAACTTTCATTGTATGAAAACGTCAACCCATGCTCCTAAATTGAAAGTACTTATAGCAACTATTTGGTTTAACATACAAATATGGCCTGTTAGACCCCCCAAAAGTTCGTTTTGTACTATTAATTTTGTTAGAGGCTCGAAAAAAAAAAAAAATATATATATATATATATATATATATATATATATATATATATATATATATATATATATATATATATATACCTAGGGCTGCTCGTTAGGCCTAGGATTGCTTGGCCAGTTTAGATTAGCATGGACCTGTTCAGCTAATCCCAAATCCAAGAGGAAAAGAATTCAGCAAATTCAATTTTCATAACAAATTGATTAACTGGGAACAAACAAACCAAGACCTCACAGAAATATGTTGGGAAGAACAGCTAGATAATGCAGGCTTAAACCAGAGCTTCGATAAAATAGGCACAGTAGCCCTATAAATATGTGGAAGGCACATACCACTAAGAAAATGAGAGAAAAAGATGCAAATTGGAACGAGAACGGCGCACCCTCTATAGGTGAAGAAAACCAACCGCAGAACATCTCAATCGCTCTACACTATCCCAACAAGGACGAGGAAGGCTATGTAGAGAAATAGAAATGAGCGAGCTCAAGCTTCAAGAATCATATAAAGTCCAGGAGAAGCAAAGAGAGCAAAAGGCATGAGTGAAATAGAGAGGAATCCGAAATACTTTTTCTCCAATGCAAAAACTAGTACAAAAACTACATCCAGCATTGGGCCTTTGCACAAGCGTGATGGAACTTTCACAGATAACAACAAATAAATGAGTGAAATACTGAGGCTTCATTAGGATTCTGCTTTCAGTGATCCCATGAAAACATTGAAGATCAATGATCCAAACAAATTCTTCATGAATGTGACACCAACATCGAATCATATTCCAGATGTCACCCTAACCCCACTGGACTTTGAAGTTACAATAGACAGCATGCCCATGAACTCTACATCAAGCCCAGACTTCTGGAATTCTATATTCGTCATGAAGTGCAAAACACCACTATCACAGGAACTAAACATCTTTTGGAGTCCGATTCTAAATACTGGTGTTATCCCCTACGTACTTAAAACAGCGCAGAGTGCGTCACTTCACAACGGAGATAGTAAAGTAGATGTAAAAAATATAAACCAATAGCTCTAACTTCACTCATCATAAAAGTCTATGAACCGAGTGCTAAAAAGTTAGATTACAAATCACATGGAATCACAACATCTACATAACCCCGGGCAACACAGGTTCAGAATAGGGGCGCTCCTGCCTCTCACAATTGCTAGTTCACTATGACATGGCTTTAGGTACCATGGAAGACAAGCAAAACGCAGATGTAATATTCACAGACTTTACAAATGTTTTCGACAAATGTGACCATGGTGTTATTGCACACAAAGTGCGCTCAAAAGGAATTACGGGCTAAGTATGGAGACGGAGCTTTAACTTCCTAATGAACAGAACCTAGAGTGTAATAGTCAACAAAGTAAAATTCTGATCATCTATTGTGAAAAGCTCACTCCCCCAAGGTGCCGTACTTCCTCCAGTATTTCTTCTCATCCTCATATCAGACATAGACAAGGATACAAACCATAGCACTGTATCATCACTTACAGACGACACTAGGATTATCATGCGAGATTACACAGCAAATCTCCAATCTGATATTAATTGGGTCTTTCAATGGGCCACAGATAATACTATGAAGTGTAATGAAGATAAGTTCCAGCTCCTTCGCTATGGATGAAAACGAAAATATAAAAACGGAAACTATATAAAAAACGCAGTCAGATCACTCTATAGAAAGAATAAGCAATGTAAAGGTTCTAGGAGTAATCATGTCTGAAGACCTTGCCCTTAAAGAACACAATGCATCTTTCTCGAGCTTCCGGGCGGAGGTGGAGCCACTACACAGCGAATCAACCAATGGGGACTCAGCTCCTAGACCACCAGCCATCCATCAAACCAGCAGTCTCCATCAACATCTCTCCCGGAATAATCACTGTAGAGCACGATCCACGCTTTATCAACAATACCCAGGATGATTGCTGGCTCCAATCCACAAGAATATGTGAGGATCCTGAACATCCTCTACTCTGTGAATGGTCCCCCAACATTCACCGTACCCGACGTAGTCTACACCACTCCGACTCCAGTCAAAAGCTCTCCTCCAACTCCTGACCTGATCATCACTGTGAACGAGGCCGCCCTTACTGACCTGCTGTCTGCAGATGTCAGGCCCGCTGAGACAGCTACTACAATGGAAGCAGCCCTTTTTCATCTATCGACTTCTGATATAGATCCACCCATCGTCCGGGAGCCCACAGAACCTTCTACTTCAGCGACAGATCTTGCTGATGCTACTCAACCTCCAAAAGCTTATAGCAACTTGTATTAAGCTGTTTCATCAGACGATGACATCTCGGTTGGGACTTCACACTCTCCTCAACGTAACACCCCCAAAGGACTACCAATCCGATGAAAACTCGAACGCCAGTTCTTCCTTTTCAACACGTAGCAAGACCTACCTGAAGCCTGAAAAGACCGAAGAGCCAAACAAGAAAAAGAAGTCAAAACATCGGTAAGAAGAACTAAGAAAGAAGATTGCATCTACCAACACATACCCACCGAGACAGCACACCATCAAGCCAACTTCGACAAGACGGAGCCACTCCTCCTCACCCTCAACTCGCCACCAAGCCTTCCAGGCCGCCAAGCAGCCTGATACCTTATGAATAAAGAAGAAAACTGGATCAAAATACTAGAAGACAAACGACTACTCCAATCCACAGTGGATAGGCCACTGATCTTTCTGCCCTTCTCATCGCTGCCCTCTTCCTGTTTCCTGAGATTTCATCCTCGTCCTAAAGTTCTTCGTCCCCCAGCTCGCTAAACCCTTCATTTGGCCCTGAAAGCGAAAGCGATGTAGCTGTCATGACTGCAAAAAAATGATAGGTTTGATAACAAGAACCTTTCAAACAAGAGATGCCATACCAATGATGATACTTTTCAACACACTAGTGCTCTCTGGGGTGGAATATTGTTGCATACTAATAACCCCTTTCTAAGCTGGAGAAATTCCTGAGAGAGCGTACATAGATCCTTTACTGCTAGAATCCCCTTTATAAAACATCCAAATTATTGGGACCGATTTAAAGTTCTAAATCTGTGTTCTCTAGAGTGCCGACGAGAGAGAGAGAAATAATAATTTACAAATTAAAAATATTAAATTGACAGTTTCCGAATCTGCACACGAAAATAACATCACATGAGACAAGTAGGCATGGCAGGATGTGCAAAATATTCTGGTTGAAAAAGTAGAGATGCAATAGGTACACTGAGGGAGAACTCTATCAACAGTAAGGGTCCAAGACTTTTTGACACTCCCGCTACACATAAGGGGCATAACCAGCTGACATCTCATGGAGTTCAAGCGAGAAACTCTATAAACACCTCCAAAGGATACCTAATGAACCAGGCTGTGATTTATGTGTCAGGCTGTGAACTGTCGTGTCCAACAGCCTGGTTGACTAGTTGACCAGCCAGAAGGCCTGGTCCGAGTCTGGGTCGCGGGGACGTTGAGCCTCGGAACCGCCACAAGGTAGCACAAAGTAGGTAGGTAGGTTTTTCAGTTACATTTTCAACTTCTTAGAATGATATTTAGGCTAATTTAATAATAAAAAACAAACTTTTTGAGAGTTCACAATGTTCACGTTTTTGAACTCCCAAAATTTCGGCAAACGTACAAAATTTGAGTTTTAGTACGTTTGACCAAATGGTTGTTATAAATACTATAATTTTTGGAGAATGTGCTGCAGTAAGTATGCATACATCTCTCTGTGAATGAACCACACAATGTATACATTCCGACAACTGAGGTACGTATGTGTTTAGCAATTCGTAACTCTTCTCTGGATTTACAAAAAAATTTGGCAAATTCCCCCCCAAAAAATTTCATCACTGTATCAGTGGCCACAATATTGATCACTCTTGGTTCTTTTATTTCTGTTGTTGAATAGTATATGAACAGGTGATACACTAGCCTGTTGAACTTCATGGCCCTTTGTGTATGGAAGGTCATTAAACCAAAATGCCCTTTCTATTCCCTGAGTTTACCTAAAGTGGCCATCTCGCTAGTGGTCTCGATGAGGACAGGAAGCAAGCACCTTGTCAAAGTCCCCCGATTTGTCCTGATGATTTTTATCGACCCGGATCTTAAATTGCAGCAGTGTTTTGACAATTACGACTTCGGTGAGGTTTATAAACCTATGGGTGAAAAAGCTTCTCATGTTTTCTCTCCTGCATTGTGGCTTGTTGAACTTGAAACCGCTGTTCCTTATTCGTGTTACATCTGACCTTTTCAAGAAGTGGTCTGGATAAATATCCTTCAAATTGTTCAATATTTTAAAAGTTTCGATGAGATCAGTCCTGTCATGTCTGATTTGCAGTGTTGTAAGCTCTGTGGCCCTCAATCGTTCGTGGTATGAAAGTTGATTTAGTTCTGCAATGATTTTTGTTGCCTGGTGTTGAACTTTAACCCAAAACAGCTATGTCTGTCTGTAGATGAGGTCTGCATGCTTGGATATAATAATGCCAGTGGAAGCACACCAAAGAGTTATACAGTTGAATAACTACCTTATTTTCGTTGAAGCAAAAGGTTCGCTTAACTATTCGTAAGGTAAGGTTAGCTTTTTTTTACTGCAGCTCACACTTGCTGTGTAACATTCAGTGATTGGTGTATTCTGACTCCAAGATACTTTTCTTCGTCAATCTGCTACAAGGTAATTATGCTTTTTCTCTTCGCCTGCTTCGAGCATTTGTGTTGGTATTAGTATGTTGTCTAAACTCTTTAGTCAGAACACTGATGTAAATAATTCATTCAGATTATTGGCTACTGTTTTAGTGTCAATTATAACTTGATTGATCTAATCTTTTAGGAGACCTACCGAGTCTTTTGTTTTGGTTTTACTTCTTATGCAGGAAGAGAAAGACTCCGTATCTTCCATTATATTTCCAGTAAGTTTTCTTTCGTAGTTTCTTTTGGCTGATTAGATTTCCAGGGTTGCTGAATTTATGGTCCTTATGTATATATCATAATCTACGTCTTTCTCTGTGGATTATATCTTTCTCGGAGGTTCCACTTAGTTATTAGAGATCAGATCTTTTTTTACTGCCTGTGTCATCCATCCATTTCTGTCTTTCTTGGCCCATTTTTTAACAAGTTCAGTACTGACCTTTTTTTAAATTTCCCATAATACTTCCATGCCTTGATCTCCTAAACAATGGGTATTCTAACACTGAGGAAGAAATCAGGACGGTGCCACAAATGTTTATCTTGAAATTTTGTTCCAGAGGTGATGTTGAAGTGAATGTATCTGTGAATGATGGATCCGGCAATTTCCTCAACTACATTATGCCTCCCAAGGCTATACAGACCATCCTTTACTAGTAACCTGCTGGACTTTCAACCTTTACTAGTAACCTGCTGGACTTTCCACCTTTACCAGTATCCTGCTGGACATTCAGCCTTTACTAGTAACCTGCTGAACTTTCAACCTTTGCTAGTAATCTACTGGACTTGAATCCTGCAAGAACATCCCGTCCTATCATCAACTAAGAACGCACAGATGGTTCCTTTCCATTGTGAGGAATGGAACCGCACTCCTCCGTACAGATTACGCTTCTGTTCCAGATAATTTTTCATGACGAATGCACCAGAACAGGCAGCTTCCAGCCTCAGTAAGCTAAAATAAACAAAATTTCACGTATTTCTTGTTTCAATACCTTGTGCTTAGCATCACCAGGTGTCGCGTTCCCCTTTTGTACCAGTGTCATGGAGACCTCCACACAGTCCCCAACTCACCATTAACCCTCCTACGGTTGTGGAATTTGTGGAGTTCTTGCTGCACACCTGCTCATAGTCTGCTGAACCCACGCCTGACTGCCTTATCGGTCCCCAAATCATCCATGGACTGGAAATGATTGTGTCAGCAAACATTCAGAAAATTGGGATACTCTGTCTGCCATCCAGTGACAACTTTCATCAAACTATACTCCGTTGGGAGCCTTGTGTATCCACCGAATCTCGGGAGAGGCTACATACCCTTTGCTGGTATTCCACAGAATGGAGCTGCTCGGTGTGGGGTGTCTGTGCCATACTATGTGCATAAAATTGCACAGTACTTTCAACAGTTTGAGTGCGGAGCCACACTCACTGACACCACAAGCGAGCTGAAATAAATAGGTTCCTTCTCCCAGCCCCCACAGCATTTTTGTTATTATTAATACATTAGATACATCTGCATTTGTGCAGCTACCCTAGACTATAGTGAGTATAGTGTGTCAAAAAGCTAGCTACGTGATGCTAAAAAATCCCCATCACACAGGATGGTTAGTCATACAGAGGCATGTGATAAGTAGCCTGCACTGACAGACTCTGGGTTCGTTATGAGGATATCATGAACACTAAAGTGAACAAGGTAGCAGTGATAATAAAAGTCCCCATCTCGCAGGATGGTTAGTCATACAGGGCCGTATGTTTAGTAGCCTGCACTGGAAATTTGGGGTACACTGTCAGGATACCTTCAAGAGTATGAGAGTGAATAAAGTAGTTGCAAAGCTCCCCCACAGCATACTGTTATAAAAACCCGACTCAGTGCAAAGTCATGTAGCATCACAGGTAAAGAAAGGAGTAATGAAATTTGCCACCATATATATATATATATATATATATATATATATATGTAATTCTTAATTAAGAAATATTAAACAAATAATAAAGAAATAGTGTTGGAAATTTCCAACAATAATACAACACTGTTGTATTATTATTAATTATTACTAAATCTACTAATCACTGTAGTAATTAAAATTAACCAACCGTAGAGTTCACATGTACTAATAATTGCATCTGTACAATAAGGCTAGAATTCTTACGTCACCAGACGCCAGTATTGCGTCAGATTCCATTATAATAAACACATCTATATCCAGTGTGTCAGAGAATTGAGTCTGATTCTCTATAAAATAACGGTGTTCTGTGTGATAATTATTTACAGATAAACTGATCCCCAACTAATGCCAAATAGAGCGTTTATAGTTACAACTGTTATCTGGTAATAAATTTAACGTCACGCATGAATGCCCTGGAGAGACTTTAATTCATCTCCATTGCTTGTTTACCATCGTAAAACGGGCGAATAATAATATTTAACTCCTCTGAATAATAAACCCGTCCTTATCCGAGCATTTCAATCGCAACTGCGAGAAATTATATTATTCGTAGTAAATAATTTGTGTATCAAATGCGGGACGCGGAGCGGGTGGCAGAGGAGACACCATTGCTGGAGTGGACGCCACCGAGAACTGGGAGGAGGAAAGTCGCCACTGTGAGGTGTGAAGAATTGTTGCAGAATATAGCAACTTAGCTGGTTTATAGTGTCACGGGATACCTCGTGGTGGATCGTCAAAGAGAATTAACTTGACGTTTCGCCGGGAACCTGTTAATTGGTTCCGTGTAGACCAACGTGACCGGCCAGAGAAGCGCGTCAGCATCTAGGCTAGGCTCGACACCACGTGTTCATTATTACGACGCCAGAACCTAGGACGCGAGCTTCGGCAAGCCTCAACTTACACAGTGCCCTATTAGCTAAGTACCTTTATTCCCTTTTGATGCATCATTATGGATAGGTTATAGCTGGGTAGCTTGTCGTTACGCCGAGCGACTAAAACAAATCACAGGTTATTATCTGTCTCCACTCTCCATTTTAATTTCTTGAACATAGATATTTAGCAGCCTAATATGTTGCTACTGAATATATTTTGATTTGCAGCGTGTGTGAAGAATTCCCCGAGCTGTCATTTCCCGTGTTAATCATCTCCCAGTGTTCCATGATGAGTTCAGGAGATTCCGAGGATGAATCATAACCGATGTCTTGGAAAACGTCTTCAAGCTAAGACCCTTTTCCGTATTCCTTTAATTTCCGTACAAAACCGCGGAAGAGGGACTCTCCACGGGGGCAAAGAAGGAACAACACGCGGAGAAACATTAGAAATACGAACGGAAAGAGAATCCTGTAGGCGAGATAACCGGACAGAAAGAGGGAGGTGGTGAAGAGGAACAGGAACCGTAGGAGGGGTAAAAGTTAAAGCACGACAGAGGCGAGAGGAAGGACGTTGTAAGGACCGAGCAAGATAGCGAAAACAGTAGCGATCACGGCAGTCCTGGAGAGACAGGAAGCCAGTGTCAACATACAAGCTAAGGACGGGAGTCGAACGAAAGGCACCAGAACTGAGGCGCAACCCAGTATGGTGCAAAGCATCAAGACGGCGAAGAGTAGAAGGAGAAGCAGACGAGTAAGCAGGGCAACCATAATCGAACTTAGACAGGACGAGACAGGAATGTAAAGCAAGGAGAGTGCGCTTATCTGCCCCCCAAGAAGTATGGGACAAGACCCGAAGGAGGGTAAGGGCCTTAGAACACTCAACACGGAGGTAAGAGATATGGGGAGACCAAGACAAACGAGTGTCAAAGAATAACCCCAAAAGCTTCGCGGAATCTTTGTACTCAAGCGGATGACCATAAAGTGACAGAGGGAGGAAGAACGACCCGTTTCCGCATAAAAGTCATGGCACAAGTCTTAGAAGTAGAGAACTTAAACCCATGATCGGTGGCCCAAGACGACACGGCATCAATTGCAAGTTGAAGCCGGCGCTGAAGGAGAGGCGAATCATCACCCTGACAGCAAAGGGTAAGATCATCGACATAGAGAGCGGAGACGACACCTGAAGGAAGAGAGGAAAGAAGACCATGTAGGGCAACCAGAAAAAGAGTAGTGCTCAGAACACTACCCTGGGGCACACCTTCGTATGGAAAAGAGGCAGAGAGAGCGGTACCAAGGCGCACCCAAAAGGAACGACGAGAGAGGAAGCTGCGGAGAAAGAGAGGGAGATGACCACGAAGGCCAAAAGAATGAAGTAGAGATAGAGTATGATACCGCCAAGTGGTGTCGTAAGCCTTTTCCAGGTCAAAAAGGACGGCAACAACGGAGGTCTTCGCAGCAAAAGCAGTACGAATATAGACCTCTAAGTTCACCAGGACATCTGTCGTGCTGCGGCACTTGCGGAAACCAAATTGAGAAGGGGAGAGGAGGTGATGGTGTTCCAGGAACCACATCAGACGAACGTTAACCATACGTTCAAAGAGTTTGCAGACAACTTGTGAGGGCAATAGGGCGAAAGTCCTTAGGGAAAGTACCCAGAAACCCCGGTTTGCGAACAGGGAGGACAACGGCATCGAGCCACTCCTCAGGGACTGACGACGACTCCCAGATCCGATTATACAGACTCAGTAAATACCGAGACGTGCACGGAGGGAGATGGCGAAGCATCTCATAATGAATACCATCGGAGCCCGCCGCCGTAGAACCGCAGAGGGCCAGGGCAGAACGAAGTTCAGAGAGAGAAGGGATCATTATAGGGAAGTTGAAGACGAGTGCAGAAATCTAAAGGACGAGACTCAAGGACAGGTTTACGAAGAAGGAAAGATTAGGGAAGATGAAGACCAGAGCTAACAGAAGAAAAGTGGGAACCCAGTTCGGAAGCGACCTGCAACGAATCCGCCACAAGAGTATTATGGAGGTGAAGGACCGATGAAACATCGAGAATGAACTTACCCGCTATCTTGCGGATACGCTTCCAGATCTGGGGCAGAGGAGTTTCGGACGTAATTGTCGAGACATAAGATGCCCAACATTCACGTTCAGCCGTACGGATGGCCCTATGGGCCACCGCACTCGCTTTCAGAAAGAAAAGGAAAGAATCGGCCGTCTGCCGACGGCGGTGCCTCTTCCAGGCTGCACGCTTACAGCGGACAGCCCGAGCACAATCCGCATTCCACCAGGGAACGCACTTCCGCGGACTCCGAGAGGAAGAGCGAGGAATAGAGCGGAGGGCAGCGTTGAAGACAGTGTCATGAAAAAGGAGGAGAGCACGAGGGAGAGATCAGAGAGAGCAGCACTGAGGGTAAATAGGTTCCAGTCCGCCTTAGCAAACTGCCACCTAGGGAAGGAGAGGTAAGGGCGAAAAGAGAAAACGGAAACAAGGATGGGGAAATGGTCACTGCCATGGAGGTCATCAAGAACCTGCCATGTGAAATCTAAGTAAAGAGAAGAAGAGCAGAGAGAAAGATCAAGACAGGAAAGGGTGCGAGTCCGAGAGTTCAAGTTAGTGGGCTCACCAGAATTCAGAAGAGACAGGGAAGAAGAGAGGAAAAATGGCTCAAGAAGGCGACCCCAGGTATTCGTCAGAACGTCTCCCCAAAGAGAATGACGACAATTGAAGTCACCCAGCAGGAGCACAGGCTCTGGCAAGGAGTCCAAGAGGTGTTTCAAATCAGGAAGAGAAAGCGGGACACTCGGGGGGATATAAATGGAACAAACTGTGTACCATTTCCCCACAAAGATACGAGCAGCAGAACAATGGAGAGGCAAAGGAAAAAGTAAAGGAACAAAGAAAACATCAGCGCGAATCAAGAGAGCAGAAGAATTAGGAGCCTCAGCAATGGCTGGGGGGGGGGAGGGGAGAGAAAGGAATAGCCACGAAAACGACCAGGACGAGCACCAAGCATCGGCTCCTTGAGACAGACACAAAGGGGTGAAAACCGCGAAATCAGAAGTTGGAGTTCGAGGAAATTGGCGTAATAACCTCGAACGTTCCATTGAAGAATAGACATCGACGAGAAGGGAAAGGACAACAACAGAGAACAAGG